TAATACTTGGTCCACAGGAACCCTGGACAAACGAAGAATACCCACAGGCTGCCATGGGCAGGCAATCTTAACCCTAAACGTTGTCCTAAATTTGATATAAAGATTGACTATGTTCAGATGTTTACTTTTCATTTACAATAGATTTGTCGAAAGAAACCGTAATTTATAACAAAATATTGCCTATTTTGACTTACCCTATAAAAGATCCTAATAGTAAATGCTGCAGAAGGCAAGAATTGATTCCAAACAGTCGTTCGTTGCGTACTGAAACTCAAATAGTTGCTAGAAAGTTGTATGACGCTATTCTCTTTAAAGTTTTTGCGGGTATACTATGTCCGGAAGCTGTAACTCTAGAAGGTGTGAAAAAGTTGCCTACAAATTCTCATTTTCACATTATGTTGAAATCACAGGGACAAAAATAACAAGCATATTAGACTCAATGTATTTATTGATATTCAAAATCAGATAGAAGATTTAAAAGCTAACATATATGTAATCATTGATATTTGGTCTTGTAGTTGATCTTGGRATCCCTGTGTTTGTACCTCGAACAAAAAACTCTACTCTGTTCCATCCAGAATTAAAGATAAGAGTTTTTATTTTCACAATTATCAATTCGTCACTTCTATAAAACAACGTTGAAGGCTTACCACGATTTAAAATGTTTGTTAAGATGTCTAAACTCATGTAAACTGAACCGTTAATAACCATCTGTGTCACGCAATAGTGATATATTATTAAGCTAGAAAAATAAGATTCTTGTCCTTTGCTGTCAATGGCATAGTATTTCATCAAGCTGACAGCTTGAAAAAATAATGTTCTTGTCCTTTGCCGCTATTATAATGATGAAATATTTTATTCTAGACAAAACCAAATCTCTTTTCAAAACTTTGCTTGAAAAAGGTATGTTTTAAAGGTATAATTAATTCAGTCGCTACGAATTGCGTGACTTGACACGTGTGTGCCAGAGATGTCAACAAAGCGYGAATTGCGGCTAAAATACCGCTTACAAAAATATTCGCCAAAAATCACGATTTGAATTGCCCAAAAATTTTATTCCATGATTTGAATAAGCTACCTTAAGACGTCAAAACAGTTATGATTTCAATGTCTGAATCGATATAACATCGGAGTTATTTGGGTTTAATTCAGGCATAGTAAATTTAGCTCGAAATAATGTTAATTAATGAAAATTCTGTAAAATATTCTCTTTTTAATATTTTATTGCAGTATTTCGTTATACAGCCTTTTGCAAAAATTATGAGAATTGTCGAAATATCTAAATATCATAATATCGAGTGCATGATGGGTAATCCCGCGCGATGCCCTTAGTCCCTTGTCTTTGTAGTTTCGTTTTTTTTTGGCGACAGACTTATCCGTAGTTCTGAACATTTTCTTGATGTCAACAATGTGATTATTCTAGCAAACCCGCGTGTTCCGGACAATATATGGATATGGATATTATGATATTTAGATATTTAGACAATTCTCATAATTTTTGCAAA